ATCAACCTATATGTTTACTATTGTTATGGCTATTTTTTATTTTTTATATATATTTTTTTGTTTAAAGGAAATGGAAAACCTTGCTGATATCATTAGAGACTTTAAGAGGGAGAACATCAGTGAGCATTCTACATTGACGGTTGTGGCAAGAAGAAGGTGAATTCTACACAGTGCCATCACAGCTCTAAACAAGGGCTATTTTGACTGGCACAAACGTCCACAGATTGAATTTGTGGGTGAGATGGCTGATGATTATGGCAGGCCTACAAGAGAATTCTTCAGGTTTGTGTTACATTTTCTATTTATGATAATACTGCCGTATGTTTTTTTTATTTTGTACTTTAGTCAAACTGGAATGTTATAATATTTAAACATATACAGTGCAATGCAAAAGTCAGCGACCGCCTATCATTTATTTCATTTGCAGTCAAAGTGGCATTATGTGCAAGCAGTTCATTTTTGTGGAGATATTTCTGAGGAGATTGGAGTTCAAAATTTAATTTAAAGGTGCAGAATAAATAGGCTTATCTGGGACTCACCTAACAATACCAAAACCATCCCCATCAATAAATAAGACTGAAGCTTCTTATTAGAGAGAGGAGAGTGGATAAAATTAAGCTCCACTCTTGCTTTAGATCTGAAAAAAATCCACAGGTTTTTCTGTCCTTTCTTCCACTGTGAGAAGTTAACTTAGTACTATGGGTCTGAAAGGATGTGTAGCTGTCAAGAAGCCTCACTGAGAAAAGGAGGCACATCAAACAAAGATGCTGCTGATGTTCTCAGAATATTGGCCCCCAGAGTCCAGACCAGATTTTGTTGACTGTGAAAAGCAGAAAATGCTAAACCAGCTTCTAAGACTGTACTTTGAAGGTGTGGAAAAATATAACTGCTTATTAATTTTGAAAAACTGAAAGTAAGGAAGCTGTATGAAGGCAAAGTGTGGACACACTAAATCCTGATTTTCATATTTAGTGGTTAGGACTTTTTTTCCTGAAGCTGAAAAATGAATAGATTTTATTTCATGGCCATTTTGACTGGAAAATGAATCAATTAAAGAGTGATCTGACTTTTGTATAGAAACTAGTCTTTCTTTGGAAATTGCTCATAAATGCATCACAAATCCCAGCTTTGTGGAGCATCATGAGCATAGGACTTTACTAAATACTGTGGGCAATGTATCAAAGACTCTCTGGACTAATAAAATAAACTTTTTTCTATGGCTCTTTACCTTTGTTATAAATCTCACCATTGTTGGGTGGATGCTGATATCCAGACAAAGTTGTAACTGTGTGTAATTCTTTCAGCTTTTGTAATTAATTCTACGGTTCTATGGGGTGAATAAAATCAGCTAATTGTTATGACCCAACCCTGATCGGTGCTTCATTGTCCAACATATATACACACATACATCATCTAAACCGCTCATCCTTCTGGGTCGCGGTGGGTGCTGGGTGGGTGCTGGGTGCTGGAGCCTATCCCAGCTGTCATTGGGCGGAAGGCAGGATACACTCTGGACAGGTCGCGAGTCCATCGCAGGGCTCATTGTCCAACAGTTTTATCTGAAAGCTTCTTGGTTTTGAAAGTGGTGTTTGTTCAGGTATGCTCTAATAAACTGTGGCGCCAACGTTAACGACGGTTAGATAGAGAGAATATGCCTTGCCATTTTTCTTACTGTTTGACACAAGATGACCCAGTTGCATGTTTCCTTTTGAGTTAATTTTATACAGTATTAACAGTTTTCCTCTCGTCTCTGTGGTAGGCTTTTAATGAAGGATGTGCAGTCCACTTTGGGCATTTTCGAGGGACAGCCAGGCAACCTTTTTTTTTCTTATGATCAGGCATTCCTAGATAAGGGAAAGTATTATACTGGAGGGAGGCTGATTGCCTGGTCTCTGTTGCATGGGGGACCAGGCATTAAGGCATTACATCCCAGCCTTTATCAGTTAATGTGTGGTCAGGCTCCAGATCTTGAAGGATTTGATATTTCCATCTTGCCAGACAAGTGTGTGCAGGACAAGCTTCAGCAGGTATTCTGACACTTTGCCAATTTTTGCTTTGTTGTTTTAAAGTTAGAGCTCATTTTAAATTTTACAGAAATGAACTTTGAGGGGAAAAAAGAACCGTGTGTTACTTTGTTTCTTGTCTTGTACTTTAATATTTTGTTGAACAACCTAAAACACTGTATATTTAATGTAGCCTTAATTTCTGTTTTGGTTTCTATGCCTTGTCTTCTGCTGTATTCTTAGATTAAAGAATGCAAAACTTAGGAGGCATGGAAAAGTCTTCAGGACAGTTTGGATGACTGGATTGCAGACTGTGGTGTGCCAGGGGTATATGAAGCCAAAGTCCATGACATTCCTCTGATACTTTCCCAAGTTGTGAAGCATTTCATCTTTCACAGGTATTATTCCCAGTGCTGTCAGGACTTATATAGCAATATTATTGCTTATTGCTAATAACAGCTTATTCTGATTGACTAGTTGGTGCGATCCTTCTAGCTAATTATCACTGTAGACTATTTCTTTTATTCATTTAGTGCAAATATTTAATTTGTTATTTTTTATTTCAGAACTGCAAACATGGTTGAGCAGTTTAAACAAGGAATCAACTCTTGTGGCAAACTTCGGGAAACTGTGGAGAGGTACTGGAACGCATTTCAGTGCCTGTTTACACACACAGAGGGACCACTGACAAGAGCTGCCTTTCGGTGTCTTTTCGATGTCATTTGGAGTGACGAAGGGACAAACAACAAGGAAGCTGAAGAGGACACTATGTTTGCATGGGAATGTCTTCTCAACAGTGTGCAAGGTAAAATCCATCCTGCTGTCATTGTGAAGTTGATAATGCCATTGTGTACTTTTTACTGTCTGGATCTTATTATGGAACAGTATTTAAATACAGAGCACAAAATGTTCACAATATCAAAGCTGTGCCACAGTAAATTCCTGGTTTTTGTGTGTGTCTGTTTTTAACAGAAAAAAAAACTCCTTTCACCTTTGAGGACCTACTGGTGTTTGTTATGGGAGCAGATGCAGTACCACCTCTTGGATTTCCACAGCGACTTCAAATACAGTTTTATGATCAGGTGATAAGGAGCAATCGTTTTCCTCAACTTGCTCTGTGACACTCTTCCTTCCTCGTGGCATCCAGAATGAAAATGAGCTCTCTAATTTCTGGCAGGTACACTGTTTGGAGTGAGTATTTCTGGATTTCAGTGTCTGGTTCCAGAAGGCCTTCATCCTCGTAAGAGTAAAATAAGTTGTAATAGTAATGGATGACATGTGTGAACACATCCCTCTAGAGGCGTTCAATTCGTTGATTGTGGACTGATAGCCCAGTAATGTGGCTACCTCGTCCTTTCCCATTCAGCAGGTTCATTAACGCTGCTACCAGTTTATTTTCACCCCCTTGATCCGATCTGACCCTTGAGGGAATTCCATACCGACAGGTTGCCCCAACAAAGTGAGCCAGAACTGTCTGGGCAGTGTTGTCTGTACTGGCGGTCAGGTAGGTGATAACCCGTGAATATCCGTCTATACCGCCGTGCGTCACTATACCCCAGCTGTGAAAACAGACATGAGTGTTTTAAGAGTCGGGTTTATCATTACATCATCACAAAAATGGCAAATTCATTGCACAGAATTAAATTACACGTAATTTTACCGTAAGAGGCGCATGTGTCCGTCGATGTGCCATAGACTGTTCGGAAACGGTACATGATATGTGCTTCTTGCAATAACGTTGCTCCACCTTCGCGCAGCTGCTGTGGGATCGATTCTGTTCAGTGTGCCGCGCGCTCGACGTCGAGGAACACGTATACCCGCAGAAGAAAGATAGCCCCTCGTCATCTACCAGGACAGTTCTCAAAATTAGACATACATTAACTAGGCAACGTTTTTTCATAGAAGGTTAACAGATTTTCTAATGGATGGCCTAACTGCAATAATTCAGCCTCTTACCTCACAACCCGGATGTTGTTGATGTAGTGTTCTTACGTGCTGTTCGAGATCACGGTCACTGATGGGAGTAAATCTTTGTCTAATGGAAATGCCCAGAGATCATAGTCTTCTATAAATGAAGGATGACGAGCAACCAAGAAGCCGTGCCATCGCCTTCGCCTTAAATCCTTGGTTCAATAACAGTTCCAGTTGTTCTCTTGATACATCTATTCTGGGTCTTGTCATGTGTACACGTACGCCACAGAGGAGACAGGAGCACTTTCATTTAAAGTGTTGTGAAACATTCACGGTTTTAAAACTTTTTTAATATATTTTTTTAAATATGCTGCAAGACCTGTTGAGTACAAGCTTTACTATTTTTTCCCGAAAACTAAATTTTACAATAAACATGGAACTTGGTGTTGTCTCTTTAAGAAAAGCACAAACCAGACTATCTCCGCCTTCACATCCACATGCAAATCAAGATAATTAACATTAGAACATGTAATAATTCAATTTGTACTAGTAAAAATACATTTCTTACTAGTCAAAATAAAATTTCTACATGTTAAAATTAAATTTTCACTTGTACAAGTTTTATTTTTGATATCAAAAATATAATTTTAACTAGTACAAATTTTATTTTTGATATCAAGAAATATAATTCTTACTAGTAAAAATTAAATTTTTAATATCAGGAATTCAATTTGAACATGTGAAAATTGAATTCCTACTAGTAAAAATTGAATTTTTGATATCAGGAATTCAATTTTTACTAGTAAAAATTCAGTTTTCACATGTTCAAACTGAATTCCTGATATCAAGAAAAAAAGGATTAAAAGCTAAAACGTCTTGCCATAGATTTGCATGTAAATATGAAGGCGGAGATAATCTCGTTTGTGCTTTTCTTAAAGAGACAACACCAACACCAAGTTCCATGTATATTGTAAAATTTAGTTTTCGGGAAAAAATAGTAAAGCTTGTACTCAACAGGTCTTGCAGCATATTTAAAAAAATACATTAAAAAAGCTTTAAAACCGTGAATGTTTCACAACACTTTAAATGAAAGTGCTCCTGTCTCCTCTGTGACGTGTACACATGACGAGGCCATACTGCTTCAGCGTAGACTACTGTTAAACTCTGGCAATGGCGGACTTGGTTCTTGGGAAGATTATGAGGCAAGGCAGCAATGGAGGCCTGCGCGATGTTGGTATTATTGATTCTCTCATTGCTAATCTGCGTCGTACCGAGCACCATTTGAACCTTGAAACGTTCACAGAGTTGTTTGAGAGTCTAACTGCATTACAGTCTTCCATAACTGCTGATGTGCCAACTACTTCATACTCTGCCCAGCGTAGTAGCACAGGTTTGCATTAAACAACTACTATGCAGGCCTACTGCATTAATTCAAAATACTTCTTTGATTAGTTCTGTAACTACGCTTTGAACATTGCCTGTGTTCAGTGTGTTGTTCGCATTGGATATTTCAGGCTCCCGTGGAAGACCCAGAATAGATGTATCAAGAGAACAACTGGAACTGTTATTGAACCAAGGATTTAAGGCGAAGGCGATGGCACGGCTTCTTGGTTGCTCGTCATCCTTCATTTATAGAAGACTATGATCTCTGGGCATTTCCATTAGACAAAGATTTACTCCCGTCAGTGACCGTGATCTCGAACAGCACGTAAGAACACTACATCAACAACATCCGGGTTGTGAGGTAAGAGGCTGAATTATTGCAGTTAGGCCATCCATTAGAAAATCTGTTAACCTTCTATGAAAAAACGTTGCCTAGTTAATGTATGTCTAATTTTGAGAACTGTCCTGGTAGATGACGAGGGGCTATCTTTCTTCTGCGGGTATACGTGTTCCTCGACGTCGAGCGCGCGGCACACTGAACAGAATCGATCCCACAGCAGCTGCGCGAAGGTGGAGCAACGTTATTGCAAGAAGCACATATCATGTACCGTTTCCGAACAGTCTATGGCACATCGACGGACACATGCGCCTCTTACGGTAAAATTACGTGTAATTTAATTCTGTGCAATGAATTTGCCATTTTTGTGATGATGTAATGATAAACCCGACTCTTAAAACACTCATGTCTGTTTTCACAGCTGGGGTATAGTGACGCACGGCGGTATAGACGGATATTCACGGGTTATCACCTACCTGACCGCCAGTACAGACAACACTGCCCAGACAGTTCTGGCTCACTTTGTTGGGGCAACCTGTCGGTATGGAATTCCCTCAAGGGTCAGATCGGATCAAGGGGGTGAAAATAAACTGGTAGCAGCGTTAATGAACCTGCTGAATGGGAAAGGACGAGGTAGCCACATTACTGGGCTATCAGTCCACAATCAACGAATTGAACGCCTCTAGAGGGATGTGTTCACACATGTCATCCATTACTATTACAACTTATTTTACTCTTACGAGGATGAAGGCCTTCTGGAACCAGACACTGAAATCCAGAAATACTCACTCCAAACAGTGTACCTGCCAGAAATTAGAGAGCTCATTTTCATTCTGGATGCCACGAGGAAGGAAGAGTGTCACAGAGCAAGTTGAGGAAAACGATTGCTCCTTATCACCTGATCATAAAACTGTATTTGAAGTCGCTGTGGAAATCCAAGAGGTGGTACTGCATCTGCTCCCATAACAAACACCAGTAGGTCCTCAAAGGTGAAAGGAGTTTCTTTTTTCTGTTAAAAACAGACACACACAAAAACCAGGAATTTACTGTGGCACAGCTTTGATATTGTGAACATTTTGTGCTCTGTATTTAAATACTGTTCCATAATAAGATCCAGACAGTAAAAAGTACACAATGGCATTATCAACTTCACAATGACAGCAGGATGGATTTTACCTTGCACACTGTTGAGAAGACATTCCCATGCAAACATAGTGTCCTCTTCAGCTTCCTTGTTGTTTGTCCCTTCGTCACTCCAAATGACATCGAAAAGACACCGAAAGGCAGCTCTTGTCAGTGGTCCCTCTGTGTGTGTAAACAGGCACTGAAATGCGTTCCAGTACCTCTCCACAGTTTCCCGAAGTTTGCCACAAGAGTTGATTCCTTGTTTAAACTGCTCAACCATGTTTGCAGTTCTGAAATAAAAAATAACAAATTAAATATTTGCACTAAATGAATAAAAGAAATAGTCTACAGTGATAATTAGCTAGAAGGATCGCACCAACTAGTCAATCAGAATAAGCTGTTATTAGCAATAAGCAATAATATTGCTATATAAGTCCTGACAGCACTGGGAATAATACCTGTGAAAGATGAAATGCTTCACAACTTGGGAAAGTATCAGAGGAATGTCATGGACTTTGGCTTCATATACCCCTGGCACACCACAGTCTGCAATCCAGTCATCCAAACTGTCCTGAAGACTTTTCCATGCCTCCTAAGTTTTGCATTCTTTAATCTAAGAATACAGCAGAAGACAAGGCATAGAAACCAAAACAGAAATTAAGGCTACATTAAATATACAGTGTTTTAGGTTGTTCAACAAAATATTAAAGTACAAGACAAGAAACAAAGTAACACACGGTTCTTTTTTCCCCTCAAAGTTCATTTCTGTAAAATTTAAAATGAGCTCTAACTTTAAAACAACAAAGCAAAAATTGGCAAAGTGTCAGAATACCTGCTGAAGCTTGTCCTGCACACACTTGTCTGGCAAGATGGAAATATCAAATCCTTCAAGATCTGGAGCCTGACCACACATTAACTGATAAAGGCTGGGATGTAATGCCTTAATGCCTGGTCCCCCATGCAACAGAGACCAGGCAATCAGCCTCCCTCCAGTATAATACTTTCCCTTATCTAGGAATGCCTGATCATAAGAAAAAAAAAGGTTGCCTGGCTGTCCCTCGAAAATGCCCAAAGTGGACTGCACATCCTTCATTAAAAGCCTACCACAGAGACGAGAGGAAAACTGTTAATACTGTATAAAATTAACTCAAAAGGAAACATGCAACTGGGTCATCTTGTGTCAAACAGTAAGAAAAATGGCAAGGCATATTCTCTCTATCTAACCGTCGTTAACGTTGGCGCCACAGTTTATTAGAGCATACCTGAACAAACACCACTTTCAAAACCAAGAAGCTTTCAGATAAAACTGTTGGACAATGAGCCCTGCGATGGACTCGCGACCTGTCCAGAGTGTATCCTGCCTTCCGCCCAATGACAGCTGGGATAGGCTCCAGCACCCAGCACCCACCCAGCACCCACCGCGACCCAGAAGGATGAGCGGTTTAGATGATGTATGTGTGTATATATGTTGGACAATGAAGCACCGATCAGGGTTGGGTCATAACAATTAGCTGATTTTATTCACCCCATAGAACCGTAGAATTAATTACAAAAGCTGAAAGAATTACACACAGTTACAACTTTGTCTGGATATCAGCATCCACCCAACAATGGTGAGATTTATAACAAAGGTAAAGAGCCATAGAAAAAAGTTTATTTTATTAGTCCAGAGAGTCTTTGATACATTGCCCACAGTATTTAGTAAAGTCCTATGCTCATGATGCTCCACAAAGCTGGGATTTGTGATGCATTTATGAGCAATTTCCAAAGAAAGACTAGTTTCTATACAAAAGTCAGATCACTCTTTAATTGATTCATTTTCCAGTCAAAATGGCCATGAAATAAAATCTATTCATTTTTCAGCTTCAGGAAAAAAAGTCCTAACCACTAAATATGAAAATCAGGATTTAGTGTGTCCACACTTTGCCTTCATACAGCTTCCTTACTTTCAGTTTTTCAAAATTAATAAGCAGTTATATTTTTCCACACCTTCAAAGTACAGTCTTAGAAGCTGGTTTAGCATTTTCTGCTTTTCACAGTCAACAAAATCTGGTCTGGACTCTGGGGGCCAATATTCTGAGAACATCAGCAGCATCTTTGTTTGATGTGCCTCCTTTTCTCAGTGAGGCTTCTTGACAGCTACACATCCTTTCAGACCCATAGTACTAAGTTAACTTCTCACAGTGGAAGAAAGGACAGAAAAACCTGTGGATTTTTTTCAGATCTAAAGCAAGAGTGGAGCTTAATTTTATCCACTCTCCTCTCTCTAATAAGAAGCTTCAGTCTTATTTATTGATGGGGATGGTTTTGGTATTGTTAGGTGAGTCCCAGATAAGCCTATTTATTCTGCACCTTTAAATTAAATTTTGAACTCCAATCTCCTCAGAAATATCTCCACAAAAATGAACTGCTTGCACATAATGCCACTTTGACTGCAAATGAAATAAATGATAGGCGGTCGCTGACTTTTGCATTGCACTGTATATGTTTAAATATTATAACATTCCAGTTTGACTAAAGTACAAAATAAAAAAAACATACGGCAGTATTATCATAAATAGAAAATGTAACACAAACCTGAAGAATTCTCTTGTAATCTAAATAAAATTAATTCCGTAATCATGAGCCATCTCACCCACAAATTCAATCTGTGGACGTTTGTGCCAGTCAAAATAGCCCTTGTTTAGAGCTGTGATGGCGCTGTGTAGAATTCGCTTCCTTCTTGAAACAAGAAAAAAATATAAAAAATAAAAAATAGCCATAACAATAGTAAACATATAGGTTGATTACAATGTTACTTTCAGTTTTTCTGCTCTGATGCTAGCATACAATCATACATTGAGTATACAGCTAAATGTTTGACTCACATCACAGGGACTATAGTGGCGTTTTGGAGAGGACAACATCTGGGTGTCCTCATCTGGTTCACTGTCAGGTAATATGTCACTATATGTACATAAAAGAAACAAAGCATAAAAAAATATGTTGCTATACATAAATCTACATCCATAAATAAATATGGTATGCCAAAAACACATCATGCTCGATTTATAGTTTTGCAGAAACATTTCAACTGTGGTTCAGTCAGACATAGGCCACAGCATCAGCTTGAGACATAAATCTTCTCACACTGCTCTGTAAATGACCATCATGGTTTATACTTTTTTTAAAAATGGTGAGCTCTCTAAAGAAGGATAAGTGAAATGAAGTTACTGGTGTCTGGTGAAATGTTTCACACAACCACCAAAACCATGAAATTCAATGTAATATAAACAAAGTCCACTAACTTTAGTGATAGTTCATGAAGAACAATGATAGGTCTTCTCTGGCTCAAACGAAAAAACATAAAATGGTAGCAGATTAATAAATGTTCGAGAACCTGATTGTTGTGAACTGGCTATGAGGCACTCCTCCTGCTGCTGACAAGCTCCCCCATATCTGCTTGAAAAAAATTTGAAATAACAATTTAGGGGTGTGCATTATAAACCCAAGGCAGACCTGCTTTACTAACAAAGTCATTATACCTGTGTGTAAATATAAGTGCATCTAAATGTCTCAATACTCTCATGTCTGGTACTCACAGGAGAACTTGCCAGGGGACTATGCACTAGTGTGTCTTCCAGTGTACTTTCAGAAAAAGAGGCCTGGTCAACAACAAAAAAACAAACAAAAACACAAACAAACAAACAAAACACATGCACATGCACACACACATGAAAAAAAAAAAACCTATGTAGGCTTAATGGTACTTAATATCAACCAACATGTCTAACAGTAACTAACAATAGGTCTGTAGTAAAGAAAAATAACATTGCAATCTTAAAATTAGACATACCTGTTCTGGCTAGTTGTTACATCTTGAATTGGCTGATCAGTTCTGTAGAACACCTGATCCAGAGGATTACGTGTTAATTTTAAGACATCGTTATAAATTATTTAAGATGTTGGTAAAAAGAAAATATGTAGTTTACACAGGTAATCTACCAAAATGAAACATTTCAAGCAATGTTCCCAGATCTACAAAATGAATATTATATAATTCTCACCTCAGGAGTGCCAGCATTTACATATATGTGGCCATTATTTTCATCCTACAAAAACAGCATTGCTAAATTTATCAATTACAGTATTTCAATAATTCCTAAATTACGTTCATAAAATGATGTTAGATCATGGCATACCACCTGGCCTGTCAGGTCTACAACATTACTTTCTACTGACGCTGATGCACTTGTGGCCATTTCAGAATGCACACTGGGAGAGACCAGTAAGAATTATTGCAGTCCTCTGTTCATTGTTTATGTTTAGTTATTTACCCCAAAACAGAATTATGAAAATCAAATTTCAACATAATTAAGCAACTGGATAGCATAATACTACTTTTCTCAGTTGACTGAGAACTACCCTTATCTTATTTGCCAATTACCAAGAGCACATGAGCTGAAACGTGTGTTAGAGCAGGAAAATCAGCAAACTGTGAAATGTTGTGAACCTCAACAACCTGTATTAGCTTCTACCTGGCACAACTGTGGAAGTACTGGACTGTTTCTTGTCTCAGCTGCTGAACTAGCACTGGATCTTCCTTCACCCCTTTGACTCAGGGATGCTGTAGCCTGCATAAACATTTTCAATATTCTTATAATCAAATTACTGTTCAGTTTATTTTTCCTAAATATTCACAGAGATCAGATCTTATACATTTAGTTAATGATAAGTTAATGACCACAAATAATGCAAACAACTTCAACTAGCAGGTTTCATGTATACTGATTTTCATGACACTTTATCCAGCATTGAACTTCAGCAATAACAAGCTATTATGATATATTTAGAAGGAAGTAAATAAGCCTGAAGCAAAGCAAAACAAAATAGAACATGGGCACAGATGTAAATACAAAGTTACAGAATAATAGTGAGACTTCCTTAAGAAAAGTTAACTTTAATTAAAAAAAGTAATGCAGTCAATCATGACCCACCTGTCTATACAGAGATAAGTGTGAATTGTAGTATGTAAATTCTGCTTCTGCCAATTTGACGCTTCTTTGACAGAGTTTGCTTGGACAACCAGCAGTTTCTTTCTCTTTGTAGCTCTGGCAAGACAAAAACCAGTCACATTAAGGCTTACGCTCACAAAACTTTGGCAAATGAATGTGTTCAGCTCAGTCAGGGACCATGACAAATCAATTGTCTTCATCTCATCACCCAAGTCATCGTTTCCTCTTCCTGCAAACAGCAGTTTTGAAAGGACAAACAACACTAATATGAGTAAGACAATAGGCTGAATTCATGTAATTACAGCCTCTACTTTTCAGTAATTATATCAACAGGATGCAGAATTAACACTCAGGTTTTAGGATTATGTTCTACATAGACTTTCATCCTGTTTCTAATTTTGTAATTAAATGAATAGAACATGATAGAGAGAAAGAACACAAATCTGTACTGCGCTCTCAGTTTCTTGGACTTAAGGTGCCAGTCATTCAATTATTTTGGGATCCCCTGCATTACACACTCTGCATTTTCCTGCTTTAACACTTCATTCAACTTTTTCATCAAATTATTACACCATTCATGAACTGGATGTGTTCTAGCAGGTAAAAACTATATAAAAAATATGCAAAGCAGTAAACCCGCCAGTAATGGAAAGCAGACTGAATGAACGAAGTAAATCATAATGGAATTTCAAAGTACCTCTATACCAATAAATCGCTGTAAACTAAAACCAATCAAACAAAAAAAGAACATAATATCATCCCTAAGCCTGATTTGTCAAGCTGCTCTGAATCCAGTAGATTGGGTATGGTGGGTTGGTTAGGATCTTGTAACAAGAAAAACTTCATCTACCATTTAAGCCCAGGCTTTCTCCCACGTCCACGTCTTTCACCTGTTGTAGTAAGAAAACAATATTGAGGAACATGACACACATCTACTGTATTAAACATGTCTGAAGTAACCACAACACAAACATGGGAGTAAATTCCTCCGCTTAGATATAGTAAAATATATATATATATATATATATATATATATAATATATATATATATAGTATACAGTAAAAAATCAATTCCTGATATCAAGAATTACATTTTTATTAGTTCAAATTTATTCAAATGAGCCAGTAATGTGTCTGTTTAAATCTATCCAATAGTGGCCCATTGTCACTGCTAGTGGGAGTGTCTCCACTGACCCAAGGTTGCCAAGCCTGCAGCCTGCTTAGAAATTTAAATAAAATGACAATGGATGAGAGTAAACAGAATTATTTACTTTGATGTGCGCTTTTAAATGCTAACATATTTCTATACATTTACGGCAGCTTATATTTTTGAGTCTTGGTTTATGAAAAGCTTTTGATTTTCCCATCTGTAACATTACTTACAAAGCTTTCTGGCAACCATGCTCCCATTAAGTGTTGTGTGCATGTCACAGTGGAGAAAGGAGCAGATTCTTTGAAAGTTTTGCAAGACAATAACATTTTAAATGTTTTCTTACTAGTTAAAATAATTTTTTACAAGTGAAAATTTTATGTCCACTTGTAAAAAATGTATTCTTGATATCAAAAATATAATTTCAACTAGTAAAAAATTTATTTTTGATATCAAGAAATTATGGGAAGCCGTTTTAGCTTTTAATCCTTTTTTCTTGATATCAGGAATTCAATTTACAAATGTGAAAATGTAATTTCCACTAGTCAAATTTTAATTCTTGATATCAAGAATTGATTTTTACTAGTAATAATTGAATTTTCACTAGTAAAAATTATATTTTTTGATATCAAACATTTATTTTAACTAGTAAGAATTGCATTTTCACAAGTACAAATTGAATTATTACATGTTCTAATGTTAATGAGCTTGATTTGCATGTGGATGTAAAGGCAGAGAAGATTTGCATTGTGCTTTTCTTAAAGAGACAACGGCAAGTACCATATATATATTACGTTTAAGTTATCAGGAAAAATAAAACTTGCACTTTAGCTTGCAATACATTCAAACGTTTACATTTAAAAACATTTAAAATGTTATCGTCTTGCAAAACTTGCAAAGAATCTGCTCCTTTCTCCACTGTGACATGCACACAACACTTAATGGGAGCATGGTTGTCAGAAAGCTTTGTAAATAATGTTACAGATGGCAAAATCAAACCGTCTATGATCCTACCTTAAAACTGATTTTTAACTTTGTGAAGATGTCTTTAGGACGTCAATAATAGACTCTCGGGGTACGTCATGTAGGCTATCTTTTATTCTGGCTACTGGAATTTGTAAATGCACCTTCTAAGTGCCTTTAGCAGGGATCATCATTACAAAACAAAACCATAACATTCCAAATGCGTGAGAGTTTTCGTAACGCTGGTAACGTTTTTTTTTCTGTTTGTTGTGAATAATCGGCTCCGCGCTTTCTGCGGGCCTGAGATTAGCGATGCTGCTAACACTGAAAAATCTCTCCACGTTTAATAAAAAAACTGATCCTCGATCAGCTTTAGAAGGCTCACGCCTTGTCTGTCCCCCTCCCTCGCTGCTATTGATACAATAGCTTGGAAGCGGTGGGTGTTAACCCAGCCGTCATTTATTCTGGTAAGTCTCGCTTCGTATGAATTTGCTAACGCAGTGCCGTAGTTAGCCAATCGTAGCGCAAGAGGGCGGGGATTTCAACGGCAGCTTCTGGGTTATGTCGGAGTGCAGGTGGGAATAAGTAACATCTCTTCTTCTTCTCAAATGTCACTGCGTCCACGGTTGCTATGGTGATATGAACGACTTCTCAACGGTCCGACTGAAGGTTGGGGGTGTGCTTTTGTCTTTGAACTATTAACCGATACCAGCTCAGAAGGGCGGGGCTTGTCGGATTACGGGTGAGGATTTTTTTTGGACTATCGTTTGGCGAGCAGCTGTTTGTGGATGGAGCGTTTACGAGCATGTACAGAGAAAGAATATAGAATGAAACACATATAATGTGCAGAACCGTTCATTAGACTGAGCTTCCTCGTTTTGAACCTGAAGCTGAAGCTGCAGCGACTGAGTGAAATTTTGCCGTAGACACAACTGTTTTGGATTGGCAAGGTAATATAAATCTCCATCGAACAGGTTATGTGAGTGCATTTTAGTGTACATTTACTGAGGGTTTACGTCTATTACGTCTTTATAGATCTATATAAATGTTAAAATATAATGGACATGATATAAACTGGACAATATCTCACCACAACCGGACATCTTTCAAATGTAAACACACCCAGCTCTGCCTCCTGCTCTGGACTGAATTTTGCTGTTACTGCAAGTTCACCATTTAAAGTCCTAGGGTTAAGATTCATTTTGAATAAAAATATAAATTTATTTAAAAGAATGTTTTTTTTCTTTATGTATGCTGAAGGACACAGAGCAGATGGTCCCTAACAATGGAGCACAGTGTGTGTATGTGTGTGTGTGTGTGTCGTTCAGCCTCATTCAGATTCATTTATTCACAAACAACACAAAGACATCAGGAGGATATAAGAGCAGCTGGCTCTGATTATGAACATAGAAACAGAGAATAAAACCTAACTTCTCCAAACATCTAGCTGCTGTGATGTTTGTAATTGTAATAGTAATATATGTAATAGTGTGTATTGGGTAAAATGGATAAATACTTATGCTTCTTTTTATACTTCTTATTGATATTACCATTACATAGTTAACCCAGGCATATATACATTTTAACCACTTACTGTCCAAGAGCCACGGCAGGTCCAGACTTTTGTTCCTCGCTCCTACAATGCATAACTCATCCAGTTTGCACTATTTCCAGGTAGTTATTGATTTATAAGACAGGACGTACTAAGACTAGGAATTTAAGGTAATAATTTGTTATCTCATCTGAGCTTACAATATATGGTCTTGAATATCAGTGTTATAAATCAACTCTCAGCTGTCCATCTGAATCAGCTCTAAAATTGGTAATTTACTAGAGCATCATATTGTAAAGCGTCTTACTGTTATGTTACTGTTGAGACTGACATCAACATAAACAAACAGGTCCAGGATAAAAACAGCTCAGCCGGATTTTGCACTGTTTTATCACAATCCATTACAAAGAGGCTAATGTCATTTATGCTGTTCTTATATCCTTCATTATATCCTATTATAGCACAGTACCCCCTGATCTGCACATTTCCATGTTTTCTCTGCTCTAACACACCCACCTCAACTCAGGAAGAGCTTGTTAATTAGCTGACAAGTTGGATCAAGTGTGTTTGGAGCATGGACAGCACTAAAATATGCAGGGCAGGGGTACTCCTGGACCTAGGAGTGGGAGCCATTGCTGGTTTGTTGTGTTTTCTGGGCTAAAGCTGGATGTAAAAACAACTTCAGGGTCAACACTACACAACACTACAACTGAAAAATCAAAGAAACAGTTTTTAACACTAAAATGTGCTATATACAGTTGTATGCAAACATTTGGGTTAACTCTGTCCTCTGCCAAAAACACACTTCTGAAAAGTTTAATGCACAATTCCTGTTTATTCACTGTTTATTTTATGTGGCCTGTGCAAAAGTTTGGCCACATTTTCTATTTTATGGCTTATTTCTTTCCAATATGTTAAGCCCAGCCAACA